ATATGTCGTTGTACTCTTAGAACAACCTACGGATTACCTTGTGCTTGTGAGTTGACAAGATATAGAATTGATGGTTTACCGATACCAATAGATGTTGTACATGTTCATTGGAGAAAACTAAGTATGGAAGTTAATTTGGACGGAGATGTAGATGATGGATCATAGGTGGATATGAGTAGTGCAATAGATGAGTTATGGAAAAGGTTTAAGTCACTGGATGTTGTTGGGAAAAGGGCATTAAAAAGTAGGGTTTTGAACTTGCCTTCCCTACAATTACTTCTATGTGTCCACCACCTGAGAAAATAAAAACTAAAGGGGGAGTAAAGAAGAAAGACAAAAAACCAGTAGGATATGATGTTTATAGAGACCCTTCGTATCACGAGTATGTTGATCAAGCATCTCAATCTTCACAGATGCAATCTCAACCATCACAAACTTCGAAGAAATTGAAATTATCACAGTCTTCACAAAAGAAATCTCAACCATCACAGGCTTCAGAAAAGTTGAAATTATCACAATCTTCACAGTCATCTAAGCAGTTCATCCTTCAATTTCCTAATCACATCAGGTCATATATTGATGATGTAGTTAATGTTGTATCAGATGGTAATTGTGGATTTCGAGTCATTGCTTCATTGCATGGATATGGTGAAGATGGTTGGCCAATGGTTCGTCGAGACTTGGGGTTGGAAATAATACATAATGAAAGATCAAGTCTGTATGTCAATTTATTTACTGATCAGTTAGCAGGAGTGAGAGAATCTTTGATGATAGAGGAATTTGGTTCTCAACCACCACATAAATGGTTAACTCTACCAGATATGGGTTACGTGATAGCGAATCATTATAATGTTGTACTTGTCTGTTTAGGAATTGAATACTGGACTTTCTTCCCTATGACATCTTCATTTTCACCGAATGTAGCAATTTAATGCATTGGTTTTGTAAACAGAAGTCATTGGGTTCAGGTACTTAGTTGTTTTTAGATAATGCGATTAAACCTAATTCTTTTTCGTTATTTTTACTTAATATTATGATTGTTTTTTTATTTAGGTAAACATGAAAGAAGGGTTTCCATTGCCACCAGTGACAGTAGATTGGAAGAAGTTTCGTTCTCCAGCAGCAACATCTTGGATGATAGGATTTGTAGGATGTCTACAACATTGGCAACAACTTACGCATATATTACCAACGCATTATGAATTATAAATTATGTTACTCATTTTTAATTTCAAAACAAGAATCGTGAATTATGTTAATCGTTTTTAATTTCAAAACAAGAATCGTGAATTATGTTACTCATTTTTAATTGCAAAACATGAATCGTGAATTATGTTACTCATTTTTAATTTCACAACATGAATCGTGAATTATGTTAACACATAAACATAAACTAAATAGGTCAAATGAGTCTAAAAGTTAACACATGAACATAAATCAATTAGGTCAAATGAGTCTAAAGGTTAACATATAACCATAAATATAAATATAAGTCACTGTGATCGACCAAGATGTAAAGCTTCGAACAAATCAGCAAACTGTGGGTCATCCTCTTCAGCACCAGTCTGTTGAAGATAACAATGAATTAATGAAGACATACGAGCCACTATAAGATCAGATGGTCCTGCTTCATATACAGGAACTGGCATCTCTGTTGTCGCATCAACACTGGGCGGTACCAGACGAGGATGCAAAACACGATAATACCACTCAAGATACCCATCATCTGTCTCATATGGGGTGGTGACCGGTGCTGTCGGAAGAATCACATTCTGAACGCTCTGATGGTAACTAATCCAGTCAACATCAATATCATCAGCCATTCGAGAATCAAGAGGTGGATGTGGAACATACTGCCTGTATTCAAACTGACGCGTACATCTGTCAGACAATTATGGAACAATAGTGTCACCCCACCTCAGACACCCCCTATAGAGACATAACTCATCAAACTGATGCCATACTCTATGATTCTCGAATGGGCGCCATATGACATCGGCAAGTGTCAACTCGTCCAGAATAGGCCGCAAGTCATCCACCTTCAAGGCACCTTGCCTATATGACCATCTCATCGCTCGAGGGAGACCCACATTATTAGCTGGTATCCAGTTCTCTCCTCTTTTCCCAAGTGTTGGAAAATACTCATGAATCCAGCACTGTTACAAAATTTAAAATAATTAATTATAACATAATAAACTAGATAAATAAAATTAATATACTAGATGAAATTAATTAAAACAAAATATACTAAATTAAAATAAATATCTGTAGGAGAGTCGGATAACCACCAAGCTGCTTACAGCTGAACATGGAAGCATCTCCGAGATATCTGTAAAGAGTAACCAACGCAGCTGCTGCCCAACTGTATCTTGATAAGCCATCCAAGTTTATAAACAGTGAGAGGTATTGTGCCTCAACAAGCGTAAACGTCTTGTCCGCAAAAATAGTGGAACCCACTAAAATCAGCAAATAAGCTCTAGTGGCATAATCCCATCGAGATGCAGCTCTGTGCTCTACGAACCGATCATATAACCACTCCAGCTTATAGTAAGAACCCCTGCACTCACGGACTTGTTGTTGTGCTATTCTTTGTGACACTCCTAAATAATCAACATCACACTCAACAGCAAGCGCTTCACTGATATCTTGAGGGCTCCAGAAGACTCCCCTGATGGGCAAGTGAAGCAGGCAAGATACGTCATCTAGAGTAATCGTCATCTCACCAAACGACATGTGAAATGAAGATGTCTCTAGATGCCACCTCTCTGCAAAAGCGGAAACTAGGTTTGTGTCTATCTTTCCAGCTCTCCATCTCCCTGGGTAGCTGTAGTGGAACCCTCTGAGTCAACTTCTACCCATGTCCCGCCACCTTTAACTCTTTCTTCGACCCTCTCTCCTGAAAAAAATTAAACGTAAAAATATTATAAAATTCAATATTAAAAATTCGGATTCTATTCAATATTAAATAATTTTCGTTTACTTACCTCACCGAACCATATACGGTATGCAATATGTTGTTCGTACTTAACTAACAGAGATGTATCATTCGGTCCTCCTGGATATCCAACCGGCTCGGATGCTGATGCAGATGCATCAAAATGCTCTTCTTCAGCCATCCTCGATGACTCGCCCCGTCCTAGTCTACGAGGGATCCTACCATCTCTGCCTCGTGTGCGCACCACTGGAAAAAAATCAATATAATTAAAAATTAAAAAATAAATAAATAAATAAATATAATTAGAAATTAAAAAAAAAACAATGAACCGAAAATCTTCAAGAAAGACTTCCGGAGAAGAAACGAAAAATTGTGTGAACCAGAAGTCTTTAGGAAAGAGTTCCAGTGATTTAACTCAAAATTTTTGTGAACCGGAAGTCTTCAGGAAAGAGTTCCGGTGAATAAACTCAAAAGTTTGTGAACCGGAAGTCTTCAGGAAAGAGTTCCGGTGAAGAAACAAAAACAAAATACAAACTGGAAGACTTACTCTTAGAGTTCCAGTATGTATTGAAAATCAAATGTGCTCCGGAAGAGTTAGTAGAAGAGTTCCGGTTTGTAAATGGATGAAGAGCTCTCCAGAAGTCTTGAAATGGAAATAAGTCGAAATGAAGTAAAAATGAAAAAATGTTAAAATTATAGATATTTAAATAAGGGTATTTTGGTCCAATATTTTTTAGTGTAGGGGTGTGGGTATAAGGGTAGGGGTATGAGGTAAATTCTTTCGCCAATTCATATGGCGACTTTGTGCAAGACCAAGACGTGAGTACAATAATGTCGTTTGGATGCGACTGGTTGTTGAAACTTAGTTGGTTTGAAATTTTTTTGAAATTTGCTTTTATTTGATAATTTTTAACTAATACTTTGTTATTTAAAAAAAAAAAATTCACAAATGCATCCCAATTCTCATCGTTTTAATTTGCTTTGACAGATCTTGCTTCGTCAATAAAACTTAGGGTCTGTTTGGTTCAAATGAGGGGGAGGGGAGGGGAGGGATTTTAATGAAGGGGAGGGGAGGGGAGGGGAGGTGAAGGAATTTTTTAATCAAATATGTGTTTGGTTCAAAAGAGAGGAGGGGAGGGATTTTAATTAAAAATGTGTTTGGTTCAGAAGGGGAGGGGAGGGGTTTTATTAATAATTTACATTTTTATCCTTATGATCTTATATAAGTCATATGATATTAAAATGTGAAAAATTCGTGCGTATTTTTGTTGGTAATAAAATTTCTAATATTGAGTGATTAAAAAAATATTTATTTGTCACATAAAGTTTAAAAATTGAGTACAATCGATTCGACTTATAACTTTCCAACATAAATTAAACTATATGTCAATAACATCGTTTAAATTGTGATGAATTATATAACAAAACAAATATATAAAATAACTTATTACTAAATGTTAATGGTTCAAAATATTTAATAAAATGAATAAACAAAAATAAATAAAATGATATGGTTTACAATTTGATATAAAAGAAAATATGATAGAGTACATAACAAAATTAAAAGAAAAAAATGAATATAACGAAACATAATTTTTTTTATGAAAAAAAGATAATGATTATGATTTATATTAATTATAAAAATTATAAAATAATTTGAAGGTGGAGAACAATTATAATAAGTTGATGAAAACAATCGAAAAAAAACAGTAACACAAAAGATAACAAATAGTTTTGAAATAATAAAATTAAACTGATGATATTTTAGTAAATATAATAATTTTTAAATATCAAAAATCATATTCCCTTCCCTCCCCTCCAAATCCCCCCAATTCGGAGGGAACCAAAAAATGTATTTTGGAGGGATTTTGCTCCCCTCCCCTCCCCTCCCCTTCTAAAATTTGAACCAAACATATTTAATTAAAATTTTCCCCTCCCCTCCCCTCCCCTCCATCTACCTCGAACCAAACACACCCTTAAGAAAAACTAACGCGCAACCGCGGCTTCCAATTCTTCTCATTCCCTTCCCACGCAACACAACACAACACAAAGTTGGTTCGATTCGATGGAGTACGAATATAACAGAAGCAGGTCGAGCCCACAAGTTCCGATGTACCGTGCTCCGCCCTCTTCCATCTACCCCAAGATCGGCCCTCACCCTCAAACTGCCGCCCCTCCCCCGCCTCGTCCGTTTCCTTATCAGCACAATCCCACTCCTTCACCTTCTCGTAACTCTCTCTTTGATTTCCCCTTCTCTCTAATTAGGGTTTTTTTCCGAATATTTCCTTAATAAGTTTTCATTGGTTATCCGTTTTTCTTCTAATTCGTTGAAAACATTAAATAGAAGCAAAACTAAATAACTCTGTATATTGATTTTGCAGTAGGATTGGGGATTAAGGTTGCCGTCAAGCCGGAATTTAGGATCACACCACCGGTAACATTCACTCACTTTCGTAGTTGTTTCGTTTATTATTATTGTGAATTCATACAAGTTTTTGACTTTGATGATAGATATGCTTTTACTTCTCAATGCTTGTGAATTGTTAATAGACACGATTCCTTTGTTAGGTTCATTTGGATCATGGTTCCACTTCACTCCTCTCAAAACTAGGGTGCTTTAAAGGAAAAATCTTCAATTTAGAATTGAATAAAGTATATGCATTTTTGAGTTTGTGGAAAAACCAAGTCTTTGAGAGGCATTTTCGGTGTCCAAAACTTACACCGAAACTCATGATTATGTATATTTTATTTATTTTTTCAAATTATTACCGGTGCCGACGAGTCAAAGTTTCAGTGTCCGTGCTTCATAGATTACCAATGTATATTGGTTTATCACACCGGGCATTATCTTGAAATACAGTCACAATTAAATTTGTCCGCGGGCATCTATTGTATACCTCTTATTGAAAGTGGGTTGCCCTTTTGTATCACTAACCGTGTAAAATAATTTTACACTGTCAACCAATCACCCTCGTGTATCCCGTCACATCAGATTGTAAATTAAGTTAATAGTACGACATGCCAATTAATCTCTTCCATAAATCTAAGAATATTTCTATTGGATGACAGTGTAAAATTATTTTACACTGTCGGTGCATACCAATTAATCTCTTCCATAAATCTAAGAATATAGGATATCTGTATGACGTGGCTTTTTTAAGATGTAGTTATAGCAGGACCTATTGTATGTTCTTATTTTTACACATTAATCCAGTGGGGTTTCTCCATTCAAACCCATGTAATTTCCTTTAGAGGCTGTTCTTCCCCACTCCAAGCGTGTGAAAATACTCATGCTTTACATATTTCATGAACCAAAAAATTAAGATATTACATAGTGACTCAACATGAATGTCTTATATTATATGTCATGCATGTCCTCTTATGTGAGATTACTTTGGGCTTAAAGCAATCGCAGATACTTATGCTACTAGGTAAACTTGTTTTTATCTGTTTTTATAGTTGAATATGATATGACTTTTGTTTGGTTTTTACAATTTTCAGCCTCATTTATTACCACATGTGGGAGATATTCCACGGAGCAACTTCCAATTTGATTTTGGATTGGAGAGGAAAATTTTGGCTGAAGCAGAGAAGGATAACCCAAATTGGAGCAAATTTGGGGTAGACAATCTTCCAACTAAAGCTTCTGATACATCACCATCAAAGGTGATTTTTCTTGATTTAGAGCAAGTTCCAATTTATTGTAATCTGTGTTTATCATTTTTTTTCCCGATTCGTTATGCAGAGGCTGTGACTTACTATTGCTTTTTCATGCTTAGTATATTTTTCTTTTCTGATTATAGATAAAATTCTTCTACTGTTTCCAACTCACATGGTGTAAAATGAAACTATATTTCCAGGTTACTTCTTCAGATCCCATTGTGAGCAAGTATATAGCCATGGGACTCAACCGAGAGGCAGTTCAAATTGCTGTTACGAATTATGGTGATAATCCAACCAAAGTATGTTCTCTATACCTGTAACTCATAATGGACATGATGTTTAGATAATTCCATTATTTGAAGAATGATTGTCATTTTTTAAATAATAAATTTATGCCCAACATATCTTCATGTACTGACCATGCAAAGATTGAATAATTCAATGAAACTCAAGTGGTTCTTCTCTTGATATGGTGTTTCCCCTCCAAATGATTACTCTGAACTTATTTTTAGACGTCAAGTTGATAGTTTTTCAAGCATGTTAGAAAGTGATCAGTTTGATAGTAATTTAACCAATGCATACAACAGTGGATGGCTCATTGTCTTCTGCTTCTGGCCATCCCTCCCTCCGTGTTGGTAACAAGGAGTAACTTTGGTGACCTATGGAGTCTACCTGCCCCCTTGACAAAATTCAATTTTCGATAAGTTTCGTTCTTGTGCCAAAATGGAAGATTTTTTCAACTAAATTCCAATACAAAATAGACAATTAGTTGAATTTATCTTGTTAAAGCTTCTCTACCTCTTGTCCAGATATTGCTTCCACTTCAGATATAATTACCTGCCAACTGAAAATGTCCTTACCTGACTCTTATTTCCCACTCTTTTACTGTCATTATTATTAGGAGTATGAATTGTTAAGTTAACCATACTCAGCTGTTAACCATTATTAGATTTAAGTTTTGAAACCAAACCACATTTCCGTCTAGGAAGCACAGACTCTAGACACAGAGACACATACCCTGCTAATTTTCATATATAGGACATTGACACGCACGTGCACATACACACAGTGATAGGATACTTGATTTGGGCCTTAGCCCAGTAGAGAGTAACTCCCCTAACAGACTTTCTAAATATATTTCTGACTATCTTCTTTAGTTATACTGGAATATGTATGGCTGTAGTTTGGGTGTTGTGCCCCGATATATTGATCACCTCTAATTTGTCATGAAGTGCACTAATTAACTTCCCAAAAGTGGTGTCCGCAGCTGTGTTGTTTCCTTTACTGATTAGTTTTGTTTTTCTGACTGAGTGTAATATTTCATTTGAAGGTTCAAGAATTTGTCAATGGATACACCCTTCTGCGTGAAATGGGATTTTCATCAAGCAGCGTTGCGGAAGCCTTAGTTATGCATGACAATAATACAGACAAGGCATTGGCACATTTCCTTAATGGCTCATCATGAGACCTCATGACATATCTGTTGTAGGTATCACTTGTCTATAAAAAATGTGTTCCTTTTGTATAATGAAAAATTCTAAGTAATGGTCAAATATAGGTAGAGTCATAATGGCAATTTCTTATTGTCTCTTGTGGGATATTGGTTTTAGGGATTTGGTGTTTTTAGAGGAAACAAAAACACATGATTATTACTCATTATTTTACTTGAGAAAGACCCTTTTTATGGTCAAAAAGCTATTGTATTTGCTTTTGGCCAAGATTTAAGTCCTTCTGGCATGTTTGGTTGGGATTATATATGGTAATTATCCTTTTATTTTAAGTTTTGTCAGAACGCAATGCATCTTGCATCCTCCAAAATTAGTGAAATGGGTATCAATGGCTGAGATAGATTATGCCATTACTTAGCATATGTTTGTTTCGGCAGTGCATTTATCAAATCCACTGAAAATAATCAGGTTGCTTTGCAGCTTCACATTTTCAGGCAGTAATGCCTTGGGAGCGATAGATGGCAAACACTCCCTTTTAGAGCATAAATATCGCCTGGTGTTTATAAAGTGTCTACCCAACAATCAAAACCTATTGTGGCAATTTCAATGGGTAATTGAACAAAAACATCGTTACTACATTCGCAAATATTATTACATTAGAGAGCGTAGTTTAATTGCCTTTTGCAAAGGTTAAGAGCGTAGTTTAATTGCCAGCTGTATTTGCAACACTGAAAAAATTCCATATGGCGCTTTGCAATGAGGTAGTTTTTCAATTACTTTTTTATATAATATAAATGTGGATATATTGTTGGTTTTGGTAGGATTTATTTTATAATTTTTGATGGGTTGTATTATTTAAAAATTAAGTTGAATTGTTTAAAATAATATAAAAAATTAAATAGAATTCATTTAAAGAATTCAATTGGATATGGTAGAGGTAGATGCTCTTATATCACTCATGCTCCGCCCGTGTGAGTTATTTCTAGTATGTATTTAAAGCATCCACACATCTATCATATCCATTTGTATTTTTTAAATGGGTTTCACTTACTTTTTTTACATTATATTATATTTTTAAATTATTTAAATAACTCAACTATATTTTTCAAATATTTATCCTCTACTACTCGTAAAATTTATAAAATGGGTCTCACTAAATACCAAAATATATATTATATTAAATCTTTTTATAATTATTTTCAATTAAATAATTAATTAAATGCACACGTGATACTTGTAGAAACGTTCTTGAATTAACCAACATTTGTGTAGGTACATACGATACATTTAATGGAATATCGATAATGATCTTACAAGTTATTTGAATGTTGTGTAGAAAGGTTTCAAAAAGGTCCGATATTTATGCTCTTACAAGCATTTAGTAAGGAGTTAATACGGGGTTTATGATTTTAATTGCAACCATTGTGAGGATTAAGTTATTTATGATTTTGAGTAAAAAAGGTTACTTATGATTTTAATTGACAATTAAGTTAGTAAGGAATGTGAGAGTGAGGTTTATGATTTTAAATAATATATGTACATGAGTCTATCTTAGAAATTTTTTCTTCCGAAACCTGTTATTTTATATGACATGTTAGAATACACCAAAGTCAAGAATTTAGGTTTGCACCTTCTAATGTATCTGTCTCGTCTCATCCATTGTTCTGTTGATGCCAACATTAATATAATTTAGGCTTGATGCATCATTTAGTCCTTTAACTTAATTTTAAATTTCACATTTGTCATTTATTTAATAAACGTTCGTTTTAACTCTCTTTTACGTTCCGTTAATCACGTTGTTTGTTTTAAGTCTCTTAAGTTACGTTCCGCTTATCATATTGGTCCTTTCCGTTAAATTTTATCAAAATTTGTTAAGTTTGAATGATGTGGCACTCCGGCTGATTTCAAGTATGATTGATGTAGAATTATTTTATTAATAATTTATTATTTTTAATTCATTAAGTATTAACCATCACCTCTCTTTTCTCATCTCTTCACCTTCACCAAAACCCTAGCCGTTCTCTTCTCAAGAGAACCTTTTACTCCATGGATCCAATCTTCCTAACAAAAACACATTAACGAATCATCCATCGATTTCCTCTTATCCTCCTCCGTATGTCAACAACACAAAAACTTCTTTCGTGACAATTTGAAAAGACGGTACATAGTGAAGACATGTTGCAGAACCAACAATCAAATGCAATATCTTTTGCTACTAATCTATTAGGTGGTTCTCAAGATACGTGTGTTGTTTTTTGATTTTTTCTGCATTTTTTTCTTTCTATTTTGGGTTTTAAAGAAAGATACATGGACAATTGTTCTGAAAAGATTGTTCATAGAAAAAATGTTTTTGCGACCATTCATCTGAAGAGACAATATTAACTTTTGTTTTTCTTTTTATAACATAATATAGGTTGCCGAAGGGGCAAGGATCTCTGGTGGATCAAAAATCATCGGAGTTGATTTAGTTTTCAGTTGATTTGAATTAGGTACAATATTTTTAACTCCAAAAATTACATTTAGATTTTTACAATATTGTTAGAAGGGTCATAGTCATACTATCAAATTGCTTTGGTTATCAATATAATAATAATCTTTAATTACAACTTGATTTCATCGTTTGTATTTAAACTCAATCAATTATTGTCTAATTTCAATTCCATATCAGATGATCTTTGATTGTTGGAAAGCTGTCGGGAAGAACAAACCACGAGATAAAGAACTATTGACATATAAAAAAGTGCACAAATATTAATTACTATAAAACCACAATTTTTGAGCTGAATTCTAAACCTTATGATACTCATGAAGAAAATGATATTCAATATTCTGTAACATATACTACTACTAATGAGATATCATTTGATGAGAAAGTTAATAATTTCAGACTACTATGATGGTTCATATACGTTTTAGTCTTTAGTTAGTTTTTTGTGGTTTTCCAAAAATGAATTATTCGAATTAAATGTCATGAGGGTAGAGATTTGAAGTTTCCTTTCTAGTTCATTTCAATGAAGCAAGAGTATTTTTTAATCCTTTCTAAAAATCATAAATACTTTATGGTCCTGACCTTGGTGTAGGGACACTTGTATCAAAATGTTTTACATGAAACATTGACAATAATCAAATGTTTATCTTGCAGATCTGAAACCTACTATTAAATTGCTTTAGTTATCAAGGATGAAGTAGAAAACCTTGAAAAGAGTGGTGTTGGTGTTATTCAAATTGATGAGGTTGCCTTTAGAGAGGGACTTCCATTGATATAAAATTTTTAACTTACGAAATAGGTCAAGAAGATTAGAAAAGATTGAGTTTATACTATCAAGTCGAAAATATCAATTCAATCTATGTCATCAGTCAATTTTAAAGAAGAAAAGAAGACTTCAAAAGGGACCAAAACTTGTAGTAGTGCTTATGTACACATTTTTCAGTTGTGTCTGTGTATATCTTATATCATTTTGGAGCATGTTTATTGTCATTTTAGTTTAATAAATTTGGTTTGAACCAAAGAATATAACAAAATTCTAATTTAATGCAATTAAATTCAAAATTATATTGATATGAAATTCTGGTATGGTATATAACATATTTTTGTGAATCGGATGTCTTGAAACAAAGTATAAACGGTTTCTTTATGATCAAGAAAAACACAAGGGTTAGAGTTAATAAAGATAACACGGTAAAACAACAAGGAACATCAAGGATTGGTTATAAACTGCTATTCTTTCCTTACTCTTAAAACAAGATTACAAGTATACAAGAATAAGAATATAACCTCTCTCTCTTGAAATTAGGATTTTATCTTCCTATTTTTCCTTATTCCAAGATTGAGAAACTAACATCCTATTTATAAGAAAAAATAGCACACTAATATAATGGGTTTTTTTTTTAACAATTACCCATTACAAGATAACTTAGGGTACAAGCTAACTTAAACAATTGAACTTACAAGCAAGACCCAATTCAACATGCTAACAACCCTAGCAATATTGACTAATGCATGTTAGAATAAACTTCGACATCAACATGCATTACTCCGACAACAGCATGCGAACAGACTTCGACCTCATGCTTAATTCCTGTCGAACTAGAAACTACCCTTCGACCATACTAGAGTTCAATCCAATATATCATAAATATCCACCTTGGATCTAACTCTATAGCATCAAGAAACTAGCTTTCTTCATGCAGCTTTATCAACTGCATACAATGGAAAACTTGCAACTGGGCAACGTCTTGGTGATCATATCAGCAGCATGTGAACAGACTTCGATTCCTGCTTTACTATCTTCACCCAAGGCTCCACCATAAATTAGGACTCTATTCAGAGACCCATTTATGCACCTAGAATCCACTTCAATACTTTTCATTTAGCCTTTCCAGGATTCACCATGTACCTTCTTACAAGACTTGCTGCATATGCTATGTCAGGCATAGTACAGACCATAACATACATCAAAGAACCCACTATATTAGCATATGGAATGCTATTCATATAAGTTCTTTCAACATCAATGTTGAGACACTGATCTGCTTGAATTGAGAATTTTTCAGAGTCACAATAGGCTTTGAATTCGACATACCAAACTTTTCGAGAACCTTCCATAGGTATGCCTCTTGAGATAATCATAACTTCAACTACTTTCTGTCTCTCCGGATGTAAATCCCAAAAATCCTAGACGCAACTCCCAGATCCTTCCTGTCGAACTTCTTATTGAGTTTATCCTTCACCCTCATTACATCTTCGACATTGTTGCTTGCTATTAGAGTATCATCCACATAGAGCAACAAAATAGCAAATTAATTACCCGGTCGAAATCTGAAGTAAACATAGTGGTCGAACTGACTTTTGATGAAACTTATGCGTGCCATGAACTTGTCGAATCTCCTATTCCACTGTCGAGGAGATTGTTTCAGTCCATATAAGGATCTATTCAGCTTGCACACATAATCCTGCTTCCCTTTTTCGAAATACCCTTCAGGTTGCCTCATCAGGATTATTTCATCTAAATCACCA